TCGGGGCCACAACATATCCTCTTCCGTCACAAGCGGCACACACGTTCAAAACCTTTAGATCTTCTCCTGCTCCAAAACTGCACTTGTCAACGCTGCCACCCGTACCAGCCTTTCCGGGCTCTGCAACTTCTGCGTCGTCGTCTTCGGCCACGGTGACGACTCCCGGATTAACGACCACCGCGACAGCACAGTCGCCTATACCATTCAACTCAGCATCTTCTGGCTCATACCTTCCTGCTGTCAATACTGTTGTCACGCCCAACCCCACGCGGAAGAAGCTCAGCCTTGGAGACTACATGAGCCGTCGCCTGGCGTCTACCCCTTCGGCTGAGAAGTCCCAGACCCAGGCGATTCTGGGCACGGGCGAGATGGAGCCATCAAAGGCGCTGGCAGAAGCGGGACAAGACTCTCCCGGGACCATGGATTTGGGGCTCGCGAATGCACAAGTCGTTGAATCACCTGCTCGACCGACACCCCCTCCCGCGGTTGGTTCAAGTGTTCCAGTCAAGGATGTTCCCATGAAGGAGACAGAAGAACCGCCATACAGCCCGTATGACTCCTTGACAACAAGGCCAATGGCAGCTTCCCCTCCCCACAAGACGACGAATGGTGTGCCAGCATCAAACGACACGATCGGCATACCGAAGATGCCGAATGTCCTGGCCCAGTTGGCGCAAATCCACGATTCGAGGGGTGTGCGATAAGTGTATGATAACGGGTCGGCCCTGGCGTTGATTGAGCAACATTCTTCTTTGTCACGAAACGAATAGAAGAGCTTATTGGACCTTTCGCGAGGCTTGGACATGCAGTGATGATGACACAGCTTATACCAGAAAAAGACGGGCGAACGGGATCGATGGGTATCGGGGCAAAAGGGGGACAGTAAAAATTGGGAAACTGGGAGGGAGGGAATATGTGTGGCGTTTATCAACACAATGTGGGCTGGTCATGTCTGTTCACCGCGGATGGCGAATTGCGATAGTGAAGGATGTGCGGCGCGATGGTTGAATGAGGTCCAGGCAGTCCTGCGCACCTCAATTATTTTTCATTGCTTTTCTCTTTTGCCCTGTGTGTATATATATATATATATGAGCTGGCTGAGCCGTGGTTGCCTCGCCATATGTGCCATTGTGGCTATTAAAGATGAGCGGCAGTTTGTTCTGTCGCTGTGTTGAGAGAAATAGTTGATACCAATATTGCCTGATACAGGGAGCTGAAGAAGTGTTGATTCAATACGGGCAATTCTACGTGTGGTTTTGTGGCTCTCAACCTGTACCGAGTATTCGCGTATTATACCTAGATATATATATACTCGGTATACTTGGTGTATATTATTATATGTGATATAAAAGTAGCCACCCCCTCTTCTCCCCCTCCTCACCCTGGCCCTCCTCCCACCCCTGCACATATTTATTATTTGCCATGCCATCCCACCAGTTCCCACATGTGCCCTCCCTCTCCACTCAACAAGCATTTCCAGGCTCCATTGGGCGTCTCCCTCGCTCACATCTGCCTCTGGTGCTTCTGGTGCCTCGACCTTGACAGCTCCATCCATCAGGTTGCGCTACTCAGGCAAGAAAGGGTCCCGGTCGCCCCGGTCACTCTCCCCCCACTGAGGCCCATGACCCTGCAGCCTCAACAAACGCTTCCAAAGATCTACAGAAAATGACATAGCCATCGTGACACCCTTGACCTCGTAGCTTCGAGGGGCAGATTTCTTATGTATCATTCATTCATTGATCGGCTTTGCTGAATTGGGTATATCCCACCCCCTCACCTTCTACTACTTCAACTTTTTTTTCTATCGGCCTTGAAGTACAGTAGCCTTTTTTGTTTTTGATTCTCATTGCTCTTACACTTCTCTCCTCTTTTACCCTTTTACCCCGTTTCTGTTTCTCAGTTCTTCGGGTCCACATCATGGCTTCATCAGGCTCCTTACCTTTCCGTCCGGGGCCCAACACTGGGATTCGAACACCCACGCGACAAGGCTCGGTGGACGCGAGGAACGAGGTTCATGTCCAAATGAACCATTACATTGGCATCGATGTCGGCACGGGCAGTGCCAGAGCGTGTATCATCAACGAGGCTGGCGACATTGTCGGTCTGTCGTCAGAGAACATTGGCCTCTGGCAGCCTCAAACGGGATACTATGTAAGGATCCCATTCTCTCTATGGTCCCAGTCTCCAAGGTCCCCCTTTTTTGTTTGGCTCCTCATGTCAGTATTCTCTAACAACCCAACCCCGCCACCCTGGGGAGAGGGAGAGAGCAGGAACAATCCACCACAGACATCTGGCGCTGTATCTGCCTGTCGGTACACCGGGCCATGACGCAGAACAACATCGACCCTCACTCGATTCGAGGCATCGGATTCGACGCGACGTGTTCGCTGGCCGTCTTCACGCACGACACCGACGAGCCCGTCTCGGTGACGGGCCCGAACTTTGACTCGACGCAAAACGACCACAACGTCGTGCTGTGGCTGGACCACCGACCCGTCGAGGAGACCAAGAAGATCAACGCCACCAAGCACAACCTGCTCCGCTACGTCGGAGGCACCATGTCCATCGAGATGGAGATCCCCAAGGTCCTGTGGCTCAAGAACAACATGCCCAAGGAGCTGTTCGACCGGTGCAAATTCTACGATCTGACCGACGCTCTCGAGCATATCGCCACGGGCAACGAGAAGCGGAGTTTCTGCTCCGTCGTCTGCAAGCAAGGGTACGTGCCTGTCGGCGTCGACGGCAGCGTCAAAGGGTGGCAGGAGGATTTTCTCAAGGAGATTGGCCTGGAGGATCTGGCCGAGGACAATTTCAAGAGAATGGGCGGTGTCAACGGGGTGGTGAGCCTGTTTCTTTACAAACCAAATCCCCCGAAAAAAAAACCCCACACGATATCACTTTATCCGTCTGTCTATTTTTTCTTCGGGGGGAGAGAGGGAACAAGAGGGTTGCACGAGATCACTCTCAAAACCCCCCCCCCCAAAAAAGGCCCTCCTCCCCTCCCCCCTTTGCTCTCGTTATATCTCTGTCACAGGTCTTATTGAACTCGAGGACTAACACTATGAAACACAGAATGGCGAATACCTCTCGGCGGGCGAACTGGCCGGCCATCTCTGTCCACGCGCCGCCGCAGACCTAGGCTTGCCCGCCGGTATCGCCGTGGGTAGCGGCGTCATCGACGCCTACGCAGGCTGGATCGGCACCGTGGGCGCCAAGGTCCAACTGTCGGCGGACCACCTCTCCCAAGAGGCGCCCGCGAACGATCAGTCCCAGGCATTTACGCGGCTGGCGGCCGTCGCGGGGACGTCGACGTGCCACCTCGTCATGAGCAAGGACCCGGTCTTCGTGCCGGGCGTGTGGGGACCGTACCGCGACGCGGTGATGCCCAACTTCTGGATGGCCGAGGGCGGGCAGTCGGCGACGGGGGAGCTGTTGAAGCACGTGCTGGAGACGCACCCGGCGTACAACCAGGCGTTGGCGCGCGCCGAGTCGACCAACAGCAACGTCTACGACTTTCTGAACCAGCACCTCGAGGACATGAAGGAGAAGACGGCCGCGCCCAGCGTGAGCCACCTGGGCCGCCACTTCTTCTTCTACGGCGACCTGTTCGGCAACCGGTCGCCCATCGCCGACCCGACCATGTCCGGCTCCGTCGTCGGCCTGTCGAGCGACAAGTCCCTCGACGGGCTGGCCCTCTACTACTACGGCACGATGGAGTTCATCGCCCTGCAGACATGGCAGATCATATCGACCATGAACGCCGCGGGCCACCGCATCTCGTCCATCTTCATGTCCGGCAGCCAGTGCCAGAACGAGATCCTGATGGCCCTGGTCGCCACGGCCTGCGACATGCCCGTCCTGATCCCGCGCTACGTCCACGCCGCCGTGTGCCACGGCGCCGCCATGCTGGGCGCGAAAGCCGCCAGCGCCGACGCGAACGGCAACACCGAGGATCTGTGGAGCATCATGGACCGCATGAGCAAGCCCGGCAAGGTCGTCCGGCCCGTCGAGGACAAGCGTGTCAAGGCCCTCTTGGACGTAAAGTACAAGGTCTTTTTGGAGCAGTGTGAGAGGCAGAGGGAGTTTAGAAGGATGGTCGATGAAGTTACGAGTGCTTCTTGAAACAAGAAAGAAAAAATGAAGAAGAAGAAGGAAAGGAGAAAAAAGTAAGAAGAAAAGGGGTTTTAGTATATTGGTCAAACCACACGGATATTGGTCGTGTTGTTTGAAAAAGGATCGTGCCCGATTGAGCCTCTTTTGACGAGTGGCTGGCTCATCCAATCAGGAAGGAGAGCAGATCAGAGACCGGAGGAGAGAGAGGAGATTCGTGGGCTGGTCATCTCCCAGCACGAAGTAAGAAGTTTGTAAATATCGTGGCCACGAGGCTCATGAGGCAGTCACGGGTCCATCGCGGATGTGATTACATCCCAAGCTTATACGCTTATGCTCTCTACTGCTCTTCTCGGTGCTTGTGCTATTGCAGTCAACGGGACAGCTCCCCGGCAGGAGGCGATTGATCATGTCCTGCCTAGTCCCTTGGATTTGTGTCCAACTCATTAGACGTGCCTTGTAACCCCCGAGTAAAGGGGGGCACGGCAAAAGCCCAGAAGTTTTCGGCATCTCGCGTCGAGATCAGCCAATCTTATAAGGCTCATCGTGGACTCCTCGGGACGGTAGTTTGTCATACACGGCACAGCACAGCACAGCGTTGCTCAACGAAGAGTCGAGCCAACTCTGATTAGCCAGTCCTTTTTGGCCACTAGCTGTTGTCGTCGTAGCAGGACGGCTGTTCGGTACTCGCTGGGACATGGTACCACAAATTGAGGTGTGGTTGTCGCTCTAGGCGGTCGGATAATATCTCAGATTATCCTGATCATCTTTTGGCAGGGTAATCGTGGTGTTCCAGTATGTGGAGTTGCTGGTCCTGAAAACCATCAGGGTGTCGCCGCTTCAATTAATGCGGAGAAGAAAATCCGAAGTAAGTTCAGGGTCCCGCTGTCTCAAGGTTCGGGAGTCCTATTGTTCGATATGCTCCCATAGTCAGGGGTATGTTCGTTATGCGTCTAGGCTTTTATCAGCAAACACTCAGCAACCGCTCGCATCGAGAAAACACACCTCGCCAGAGGGTTGACCAGCTTCTTGAACGGCATCAGGGGCGACAACAGTGTCGTCGTCGTCGTCGGGATGAGGTTTCAAGAAGTTCTTCATCAGACCCAACATGTCGTATTTGCAAAGAGGGCAATCGTGGTGGCCACGTTCGACCCACAGGCTCAGACAGTTGGCGTGGTAGACGTGGCCACAGCGGAGTTCGCGGATGAGATCGGTTTCTTCCAGCGATTCCAAACAGATGGCAGTGCTGCGGATGTCAGTCAACGAAGAGAAGAACAGGGCGGAGGTAAACATATCAACTGAGACTCGAGGAAACGGTTGCAAAGGTCTGAACGTGTTCCTCTGACTTCTCGGCTCTCCAGTGGAGCAGGGATTGAGCCGGAGCGACCTGGTCGAGTTTCTTCAACCTCTTGCGATGCTGCGAGGCTACCGACGTAGGGGGCAGGCTCGAATCCTCGACCTGCCAGCCCGCCTCTGTAATGTCTGATTCGGTATCTGAATTATCGTCCCCGTGACTGAACCTATCGAAGAGAGCACGACTTTTGTCTCTGCGTCAGCTCGAGCCTTGACGGTGTATTGGGGTCCGATGCCGCTCACCACATCATCAACAGTATCAACACAAACCAAAGCATCCATGTTATTTGTATGAACACCGCAATACTGTGGATATCCGGATTGTCTCTATTATAGGGCGGTTGCTGATCGGCAGGTATTCCAGGGTATGGACCGACCGAGCCATTGGATTGAAGGGGGATCTCGACATTCTGAGGCCAAGTGTCGGCCTCGGTGAGGAATTGCTGTCTTGGGATGTACATGGGGTTGTGATTTCGTTATCAGAAGGGAAGTGTGTTTTTTCGCCGAAAAACCTCCAAGGATAAAAATGTTATTCGCTTAGCCAGTCAATTTCTGGGGATTGCACGCAGGAAACAGAACGCAATGACGCTGTACGAGTACAAGTACATTGAAGAAATAATATGATGAGACAGTCGTCTGAGGAAAAACAATCAGCATGGTCGCAGAAAGAAACTGTGTGATGGAGAGAGAAACACGAGGATTCCGAGAAATGAGGTTTTGGGCAAACTGAAGCCTCAGTCACACAACAGTCTTGCGATGGAGACTTGCTTGACTGCGCCCATGTGATGCGCGTTAGTGACTTGGCCCCGTGGCATGGCGTCCAAGTGGTTACCGAGTACAAATGCATCTGGTAGTTTCTAGGCGGCTTCCCTTACAGATCGATGACGACAACAGGCAGTGGGCAAATGGGCATGGATGGGCACGGTTGGTTAAGGGAGTGGTGTGATATCTCTGGTCCTCCTGCAAGGCACCGTACTTGTACAGGCTTGACCGGTAAGAGTCTTGCCATTTCCTGGGCACACTTCGGCGCTACCCCGGAGACCTTCGGGGTCACAAGGGTACAGCCAATGACCCCCAGCAAACCCAAAGAGGCCCCCGTTTGGTTGTCCTTAGCGGGATCTTCCGGAAGAGCCACCCATCTCCGGATGCTCCGAACAGGCTGCGCAGGCCCCACGACGAAATCGACTCGGGACATCGGTGCAACGTTGATCCTTTCCGTTCACCTCCCCTCTACCAGATCCCCTCTTTGGTACTTTGGGTGGACGACATGGTGGTCAACTTGTCCTTGATGATTTGGACATAGTAATTGTACTTATGAGAAAGACTGATGTTTATACTTGTACAGCGTTGTCAATTTCCATATCCTTCCTGGCTAATTGACGTCGACCTTGTAAATTAACCCCAAAATATAGATGTGCCTTAACCCCCCCCTTTTTAGTTGAACGAGCGGATTCTCATGGCTGCCTCTGCCAACCTCACCGACTCCATCTCTTGGCCCTTCAGGACACTGATTAACAGATTCTCGCCGTTGCTGCCGACCGCATGTACCACTACATTCTCGCCGTATCCGCAGTCCTTCTCCGTCGGTGCGGCTTCGTCGTACTCTGCAAACGACTCCTTTGTCACGCCGTCCTCGGGCGCCAGCAGGACTGTGCTGGCGAACTTCCGAGCATCCTCGTACTTTTTAAATGAGCCTTCGACGATCGTTTCCCGGGCTTTGCCACTGTCGTCCTCGTCGTACAGGACGATGGTCTGAACCACGTGGTACACGTCCCCGTGCACTTTATGGTCCTCGGGGTTGCTCTCGAAACCTTGCGTGTTTTGCGTGGTGGCCACGCTCACGCGGAAGATGGTGCCGTCGCTCGCCTTGGCAAAGACACACAGACCGGCTTTTCTCTTGATGTGGTGGGTTTCGAAGTCTTGCTCGTTGGTGTCGTACTCGGTGAACCATTCTCGCTCGTAGCCCGCCTCGAAGAGAGTCCGGTGGGCGGCAGCCTTTGCGGCGGGCAGGTCTGTATAGGAGCCGCAGATGCGGAGTTTCTCGATCGCGAGGTTGGGATCTTTAGAGATGTTGGAGATGCTGAAAACGACGTGGTAGAGGTTCTCGAGGTCTTTGCTGGCCATGGTTTCTTTTGGTATTGTCTTGTCCCTCAAAAATGGATTGATACCTTCTCGTTATGTGTTATTTTGGTCTTCTGTTCGGAGCTGCCAGAGTCACGACGGTGGTGCCGGTGCGGCGTCGAACATCATATATTCACCTTTGAGCTCTCACCTTCCCTCAACCGAACAGACACGCCATTGCTCGAAGCTACCAAACCGTCGTGGCGTGATGCTCATTACTTGCAAAAGCGGTTGCTTTCGGCTCATGAGATTACCTAATGGGACCTGCCCCCGAGATTTTTGAGTGGTTTGGGCATGACTGCGGACGAGTCTCATCTCAAGGTTTCTCAGTGACAAGGTTCTAGCCAGTACCCGGACACGGACAAGCGGAATACAAGTAACAGAGTGCGAGAGATCCAGCCAGAACCACAGGCAATACGGGACTGGCACCTTCGGGGGGGAGGGGGATTGCCTAAACAAACTTTATGATCGAATGACCAGTTTAGTTTATCCACCAGCAACGGAAGAAAAAAATCCCCTCAACAAATCAGCCCCTAAGGAAGAAAAAATTGGCGCGGCTTTTCTTGGGAACCCGAGTTACGAGTAACTACTGTTACGAGGGCACGAGGGATGACCTCTGACAATCATGGTGTGACAGGATATTCCAGAAAGCCGCAGGCAATGCGCACAGACCACATTCGCATCGTGCAGGGTCTCTGACTGCCTCTCCACACTTTCGTCGCTCATGCAGCTCGATCACTTACTTCACACACAAGTGGCACCAGAACGACCTCCTACCAAGCCTCGACAATTCTGGGGACGCTGCCAACGGGCTTGGCTCGGGGCTCTCAGGTTTGAAGCTAAGATGACATGACGCAAAGGGGCTACGGAGCTCAGAAGGAGCTGTTTCTTCAAGAAGACCCCGCAACAAGCACGAACAGCTTAGCTAGTCAGTAGCCCACCGAGGAAAAAAAGATTTCTGTAGAGATTTTTGTGTTGTGTGAATCGTATTCCATTGGAAAACATTGTACGATTACAGACGCTACCCCAGGTAAATTATAATTGTAGCATCGGGGAACTTGTGTAACTCCCACAGGTCTGATTCGACCGACCAGACCAGACTTGACCAGATTGACTGGACTTTCGTTCTTCTAAAGCAATTGATCCATTATCGCTTTTCCCCAAACCCCCAAAAAGGCTCCTTAATCACAAAAACGCCCGGGTTCATGGTTGGTTGGTTGGTTGGAGGGTAGTTGTGGTAGTTGATGGGGGTCTATTCACAACTTTTGATCTGCCGCCTTTTTGATTGCAGCGGCCTCCATTTCGTTGAGATGGCTCTCGACCTCGTCTAGGTGTTTCCGCTGGGCCAGGAGCTTTTCTCTCATTTTCCGAATACTGTTTTGCAACGTGTTAGACATTTGATCTAGAAATGTCAAATGGCGGTACAACTCACTTTTCTATCTCGTGTTGCTTGAAGTACATGTTCTCCAAGACTTGTTCGCGGCGATTGAATGAGTCACTGTAGAAATTCCAGTGTTAGCAAGTACAGGGGAATGTGGTGGTAATCGACGGCAGTGGTTGGTACGTACCTCGCGGCAACGCCTCCGGCGCGTATTGATCCAGTGTCGCCTTCACTCCAGTTTGGCCGTACCGTGACGAATGATTGGCAAAACTGAGGAGTTCGGATTCTGGTCATGCAGCTTCTTGGAATCGTTGTTCGAAGCATTTTTGGTGGTTGGTTGGTTGGTTGTGTTGTAGTTGATTGTATGTGTGTGTGTGTGAGATGAGGTGGAAAAAAGGAAAATACCAATCTCTATATTGCTGATTGGAGTTTCTTTATGATGTCTTGTAAAGATGTCTTGTAAAGATGTCTTGTAATGTCTGATAGGGTAAAAACAATAAACGAGCTGGAACAGACTGCAGGCTTGGGGGATCTCATATAAATATGTCTTGGAAGTTGTCAAGGTTCCCATTGTAGCTCATTGTGCTAGACTTGGGCATGCATAGGCTGGATCGCGTTGGCTGTTGAGGCATAAATTGAGTGGCATGACCAGGTTGCAGATCTCAATTGAGACCCGAGCTACAGTGTTACCGTAGGGGCCAGTAGGAGGGGGCCACCGAGACCTAGCTAAGGGCCCACGGGCGTTCAATGCAGCGTTTTAGGCTCCTTCTAAGCCTAATGAGCCTCTTCTCCCAACGACGCGGCACCCTTGGTTGGGGCGATTAGCTCCCAAGTGGGAACATGCAAAGCGGTTCGAGATCTTCGGAGGGGTTTTTAGGGGCGGAGCCCCCCTATCGGTACACGTACCTCGCCGATTCGGATCCCAAGTGCACACTGCACACCTGCACAGGCGCCGAGGTGCCCAGGCTGTGCTAGGTGCCCAGAGCCCAGTTGCCCAGAAGCCTAAAAGACCAGGAATCCAAAAGCTCCGGGTTCCAGGTCCCACACAACTTGGTGGTATCGCACGTTACCAGCCATTGGAGGGAAATTTGCTGCCCTCTGCCTCTGCTGCCGAGACATGCATGGCTATGCATACAACATCACACCACGATATCTCTGAAACTTTCTCACGCAACTCACCTAACGGAGAAGTGTCACTGCCAATGATTGATTGTGTTGATCCTTCATCTCCCGATCGCATGATTGTGTATTCTGTGCAAAACTCCCCATGATCATGAGGTGAGGCTTCTCGATGCTTCAGGCACAGACCGTCAGATATTGGCACTGACCATGGGCTTCTTCTTCGACGGGCACATGACATGGCTGAGTCTTGGGAGGGAGAGGCGAGGGATGTACCGTGCAAGACATATACACGAGACTGCCTGTCATCCTGGGGGGGGATGAAGGAGAGAATGCAATGTCAAAGCCAAACTACACCCTGAAATCACACAAAACGTGACCAAAGTCGATAATACCTGCATACAAACAACCAAAAATGGCCGCTGGATGGTACTACCTCCCATCGGACATCATTCCATACCCAACAACAAACATCGCCCATACCTACCCAGAACCGGGCCATCACCTGCACCACATCTCCGTGCCGTACGTCGCACACAAGGTGCTCACCAAGTTCCATGACAAGGACGAAGACATCCATCAGCCAAAGACCGATGTGCGCGAGACCCAGGGCAACTTCTACCTGGAAATCGAGTTGCCGGGTGTCAAGGACCACTCGGAACTTCGTCTGCGCTGGACGACGGAGCGTACGCTGCTGCTGACCAGTAAGACTCATCGGTCCGAGATCCCAGAAGAGGAGTTGGTGGAGGAGCCTGGTCAACCAAAGCCAGAGGCTGCTGCTCCCGCTCCAGCTCCCACCGAGACTGCTGCCCCTGCTCCTGCAGCACCACCGACGACAACAATACCACCGGCTCCAGAGGCAACGCAGGACCCCAAAACTACCGGCACAGACCAAACCCCCAAGAAATTCGCCCCTCACTTGACCCTGTCCGAGCGGCAGATCGGCGAGATGGTGCGGGCCTTCAACTTCCCCGTCGACGTCGACCGCGACAACACTCATGCCAAGCTGGACGCCGGCCTGCTGAGGATCGTGGTGCCCAAGGTCACCGAGCACGGCGAGGCCAAGCACATCCACGTGCCCATCCACCTCCCGTCGTTCGCTTCCAGCGTCTGACTTACAAGTCCGGGTGAGAGCCGCGACCAGGGCCTCCCACCACGACGACGACGACGCCGCCCCAGCGAGATTGTCGAGGTGATTCCCGAGCTGGACTGGCGGATCGCATCCATCCTGTGCTGTGAGTATGGACAGTACTACGATGACGTGGACGACGGGTCCGGCGCTGCTGACCAAAGGAGGAATACGAGACTGTAATAATCAACTCTGTTGAATTCCCTTTTTTCCCTATCCGTCAAAGACCGAAGGAAGATTGAGAAAGAGAGAGCAGGAGGAATAAATTATCCAAAAGGACAAGAACAAGGACATCTGTCTGTGTATGTGTATCATTAATATTAATGTTGATAGTCGAAACGCGATACCCAACCCGAATCAGGTAATCGAATATTGACTATTATTTCCTATTTGGGAAGTCTTCGGGAGATGGCAAGATACCAAGATACCTAGGTACCTTAGTACATAGGTGCATATATTAGTGTGTAATGGTAAATATCCTTCCAAGCGAGGTTCTTTCTTGCAGTGTAATGACTAATTCATCCAGATATCTCTCTCATTCTTACTTCTTCGGCCTAGGTAGCATCTCAGCCAAATACAAACAGTCATCGCGGCCAGCCATCCACAATGTCCACACATACATACGAGTACCGAGTAGACCATCACGGTCCACTGTTAACTCTACAATTTTCTTCTCCTTTTCTTTTCCATCCCCCCCCCCCCCCCCCCACATCTCTCTCTCTTGTACCTCGACTAGTTCCTTTTGAATTGAATTTCAACTTCTATCTCGTAGTAAGTACGCAGTAAGTAGAGAGCAGACAAGATACTTATGAGCGTTTGAGTATTTTTTAAAGTATATATTTATTTCATTTCATGTTTCGTATTTCATATTTCATCAATACGTGAGTAGACGTTAAAGTTTTAGAACACCCTTCCCTTTTCCTGGTGGTGTACAAATGTATAACCCGAACAAAACATCCCCACACATTGCCCATCCCATCAATCGCCCCCTGTGACCTTTCCGTAGCTTCCCCTCAAATCCGGCTTCAGTCGTGCTGTTTAGGCCTTGAAGTCCGTGAAATAGAGAAGAGAAAATAAAAAATATGTGAAACCGTCGAATATGCTCCTATATACACCGAGCCGCTGGGGGAGCTGGGGAGCTTGAGGAAAGGTACATCGTGCTGATGTTGGTGGTGATGGAAATGATGACAAAGGCGGGGCGAGGACATCACAGAGGACTGTTATAGAGTCCTTTGGAGAAGGGGGCATGATCACTCGTAGAATTCATCAGCCCAAATGTCCTCCTCAATGACGTCCTCTTCCTCATTCTGCTCGACCCACTCGTGCTGTGCGATGGTCTCGTTCTCGGGCCACCAGCTCATGGGCTCTGACTCTTGCGAGGACCTCCGTCTGTGGACGTCTGGGTGGTGGGGGTGCTTCTCATGCTCGTGGTGAACTTTGACAGGGCTGACTTCAACGAAGCTAGGTCTCCGCTCACACCGTTCGGCGGCTTTGGTCATCGCCTCGGCCGAGGTCGCCGACTGATCCATGACTGGTGGAAATGTAGCCTTTGCGTAGGGCTTCTCCAGAGCCGGCGTGGACGGGGGCGGTGTGGTGCCCGTGTTAAATGTCTCCGAGGGCCTGACTTTGGCCTTTTTCACCATGGGCCGTGCAGCCTTGTCGGTGACGGGTTCCAATGGCAAAAACTCGGTCGACAGCGACGGGGCTAGGTAGAGGAAGTCGCTGTAGTCGGCTTCATTGTAATTGGGCACGTAGCCAGTAGTGGTGCCGACGTTGGCCGACGTCGGTGCCTTTTCCGTCTGTTCTGTGGGAAGATTCTGTATAGGCGTCACAGGTTAGCTATAGCACTACCAAAATGGGACGAGGGGAGGTTCCCATTGGATCTCCATAGAAAAAAAGGAGTTTCTTCGGGGGATCACCATAGAAGTGATGGTAGACCTACCGATGCTGTGTGGGACATCATCTCGAGACTATTGGATTTGATGAGCTTTGGTTTGTTGGTGTTGGTGTTGGTATTGTTGGAGGGATGCAGTAGACAAGTGAGTTGACTGTGATCTGGTCTTTCTTTCCTGGGATCAAACGAGTTCCTTTGGCCATTTTTATGTTCGGAATCTTCCTCTATGGCCCGATATGTCTCTGTAGTATCCAAAAGGGGTGGGATTGAGTAATTGGCGAGAATGATACACCTCAGCCCAGAAACTAACTGCAAGTTGCTCAGACACGTCAGGGTACAGAGGGTGCTCAGGTTACTTGGCTACCGGAAACCGCCGCATACGGGAGTCAGTGGTGGTGGTGGAGGGAGGATGCAGGGTGGTGGGTAGTGGTGCGCAGTTGGTGGTTCGGCGGTTGTCGCGTGGTGGTGTGATGGACTGACTGAGTGACTGACTGAGGGACGGACGCTGGTGGACATTCTAGGCTCTTCGCGTGGCATTTTAGGCTTTAGTCTTGGCATTTCCTTTTCCTCTCACGCGCGCTTGAAAATGCCGCGTGGCTCATGGCAGCTTCTATTGGGTGATAGGGCGAAATGGATGACTAAGAGGTAAAGTATTCGGTACTTGTGTATCAAATTCCTCATGCACTGACCGGTATCACCACCCATCACCCGACTTTTTCTCTCACCTCACAGTCTACCTTGGACTTGTTATCTCTTCTATCTTCCAGCTGCATGATGAAATGGCCGCTTCTCGACACTCGGTTGACTCGTCTTTTCGTGACTTCCATCATGTACTGTGAAATGCCATTACTCCTTCTCCCGTCCATTGCGCCATATCGTGCACGGATCGGGCGGCCAGTTCTTTCCTGAAACTTCCCCCCAATACCCCGGATTTGCACCTTCGTCCCACCCGGTTTCACTCTCACATCCATCTCCGCGCTTTGCTCCCATCATCTGATGCTTAAAGCTCAAGTCTCCCTTGGTTCCGGCATGACAGCCTATCGGAATCCCGCTGATGGTGTGAGTCTGACCCCCGCCCTCTGCGTGGCCAAACGTCCACTTTACCACATTCATGGAAAAGCCCATTCGGAAGCCTGAGTCGTCCGACGGCGAGCGCTCGGCCGTCAAGTGATGCTGTTCCTTTTGGCGGGGGGGCTGTGCCTGGTTCACCCAATCGTCATACGCATCCCGTGTACATTTCGTCTCGTGAAGTGGATGTGTATTCGTTCCCCTCAACATCCGTGGTCGTCCAGCTACTTCTCTAGCGGCAAATCCGACCCGGCAAAAATGTCTCTCTCCAATCATGTTTGCTAATCCCCCCATACGTGCTTGGTATAAAGACATTAACCCAGCCGCTGGGGTTGACGACTGGAGTACGCGAAAAAGATACCATGCAATAACCCCAGATACACCAGAAATGGTTGAGATTCCAGTTATAGTGACTCCTCCAGACTGCAACCCTCTCACAAACAGTCCAGATAACGAAGAACAGGCCCATCACTTACACCAAGAGCCTGATTTTTCACCCGCCATACACGAGGTGAAACAAATAACCACCTCGACAGTACTCATGCCTGTAAACGCCACCGACACCATGGTGTCAGAAGGCACTCAGACCGAATCACCAAAGCAAACCCCGGGACAAGAGGTTTCGCCTGCAAGGGCGTTTAGTCCCGGCTATCCATTGAGCCCAGTCCGCTCTCACTCCGAGTCCTCGGGGCCCAAACCTCACTTTCCACCTTGGAGGGAACTCCGCCACCACATATACAACCCCCATCCCACTCATCCAGGAGCATTTTATAACGAAGGCAAAGTCGAGGGTCACCTCTCCCCTCCCTCGCCTCCTCCAAAGTGCCCCATGACGCCCCAGGCCGATCTATACGACGGCCAGTCGCCCTCCAACTTTGGCATGCAGTTTGACCGGCCCACCATACCACATTGGAGAAGGAACATCAAGCCAGCCACGTGTGCTCAGAACTATGAGGACCACAAACACCGCATGCTAATGGAGTGGTTGAATAGGAGGAACTCCGTGTGAGCCCTCTCTGTATACATACCCTTCCACAGGCGTGGGCATCCTCCTACTGAGGGAACTGTCCCACGCTTGTTCGAATTCGAGAATGGATATTGCGATTCAATGTTTTGTCTGGGGGCAAACTGCTAAGCTCTGCTTTGCACGGAGTATTTCGACAGCAGTATACCACGCTGTCGGGCGTCTTTTATACGGGAACACCAACACACACCGTACCACACCGCACTGCACCGCTCACACTGGCAGGACGCCCCAACCAGCGACCTGGCAACCATGCCCCCCTTTTCTCTTCTTGCTATCGATATCACCACTACCATTTTTCGGAGTGGGAACATTACGGTTAAGGTTATTAGGGAAGGAACACCATTCATTGTGCTACTTGACATGCATGGCGGCTTTTTGGTTTTTGGATGAAGGGGGGAGATTATGAAAACATTCGTGTTTTATCGAGATTGTAACCTTCAAGCAGCATTGTTGGCATCGGCATCGGCATCGGCAACGACTTTGCATCGGGATGGGCAAAAAGTTACCATAGGTCCATAATTCTGGTTGGAAGGCATTCCCTGCTTAGTGTTTATTTCTCTTTCTGTCTTTGCTCACCGTATCGGCTGGCTTGGTGGAGGGTCTGCTGGTGGTTGGTTGATCAGTCAGACAGTCAGTCAGCCGGCGGACGGGTTGGGAGGATGTATTATCTATCACGTTCAAGGTTGAACTCACTACATTGTAGTGACCACTGTATAATATCAACGTCATCCGTAATCTTCATGTCACATATAGATTCTGTATCATATGTATCAGATATATATATCTACAGCCAACTATTTCTCACACATCCCATGCTCTGCCACGCCATACAATGCCTCATACTCTCGACAGTCACCAGATCCACGAAGGAGTCATGGTCTGGCCTGAATGTGGTTCGCCCCCTTTTTTTTCTACCACTACTAGCCTCGACTTCTTTCATCTCCTTTTTTTCCGGACTTGCACCACCCTCCTCCTCCTCCACCACCTCGCCCTTAA